TAATGAGCAAAAAACACAAACGAAAATAAAAGAAATGTTTTAGCGAAATTTACATCTGACATTTACGTCTGAATGAAATAGTGAAATACTTGATGCGCAGAGTGTACTTTCATTGTGTAAATCCGTCGGGATGCCTGTCAGTAGTGCTTTCTCTGTCTAGCCGTCGAAAGCCTCTAGAAATTTGATGAACTGTACACACACATATTTGGATGGCATTGAATCAATTATTGATGTTTATGGCTGAGGCTCACAGATTTCAGCGATATACAGGGAGGGTATTTTGGGGGCTCAACATTTTCTTTTGAATAAGAATGATCATTAAAAACTGAAAACAAAAAGATATTAAAATTACAAACTAATATTATTTTACCATTGATTCAAAAAAGTTTGGAAATATTACTTACCATTGGCACAAAACAGTACACTAATAACTGAACTGTATTTTTCTTAGACGCTTGTTTATAATTTTTTGGCTATCCTTTAAGTGACGGCAGCATATTTAATATGATGTATATATAAATTGCATCACTACCAATATCTGGGAGTGCTTTATTGTTCGTTGCTGAAATCCATCTTCTTATTTTTTTTAAGAATGCTTAAATTTGTAAAGTGATGAAAATATATCTAGATAAATCAAAATCCAATGCACCTTCAACTGCAATAATCATTTTAAATTCTTGAAGTTCCTCATGTTTTTCCATTTGAGTTGCTGACCGTGATTAAACTACTTTTTCTCTCTCTCTGTTTGGTTTATGTTTGTGGCATAGGTTAAATTTATGTCTTAACATTTTAAAATATTATAATATTAGCGAAGTAAAACGTATGAATATAAAATTTTATTATAATCAAAAATCAATATCGATATCAATTTTTTTTGTTTACTTTTAAGACTCAATAACCACGGCGCGTTCACCAAAGAACCAAAAATAATATTTTCGGCCCAATTACTCTGACATTATATTGGTAGTGTCATTGTAATTGCACTAGTTAAATATAAAAAATTATATACATAAAAAGATATTGATTTCTTTAAAAAACCGAAATTATCACACAGTATCTATTTTCTTTATTGTTTATGGAACAATTTTTACTAAATTTTGGGAATCGAAATGCATATTTTTTATATCTCTTTTTTCATTTCATGGGATCCAATATTTAATTTGGATTATTTTAAAAATATTGATTTAAAATTATACAGACCGCCTTCGTGGGCACGTGTAACCATTTTTATTCCCAAAATTTTGTTAAAATTGTTCCAAAAACAATGAAAAACATAAGTAAGTACCTACTGTATAATAATTACTGAGGCCGAAATTGCAAAAAAAAAATTTCGTCTGGTGGTCTATGTGTATGTATGCCGGCACGATAACTCTAGAACGAAAGTTCTACTTGACTTGCGGTTTTGATTTTCTTTACTACTTTAAAATCAATTTTCTTGAAATCCGCATATGCATTTCTTATGTTACAATTTTAGGAATTTCAATTATTTCTAACGTCAACATTCTTAAAATTCCATAAATTGCAAACATTCTCTAACGACCTGTCAAACAACAGCTGTTAGATTAGATTAGATTAGATTAGGAGCTGGACGTTACTTGTCCTTGTCCACCGCGACCTTTTCAGATCTATTGTGGGACTCCGCTTGTTCTAGAGTGTGTCGTCTAGCCTGGTCTTTTTTATTAGACATAGTAGCTTTGACAGTGGCTCACGCATGTAGTTGCATGCATTTGACTTTTCTTCGCCCAATGTTAGAAACCTCATTCCAGCCAGGCCTTCACATTGGCACAGCACTTGGCATGATGTTTCCTCTTCTTATTCACAGAACCTGCACAAAGTTGCTTCTTCTGCTAGATTTATGACACTCACGTGCCTTTTGAGGCGACAGTGTCCAGTAAGAAGGCCTACTGTTATCCTAACGATTTGACGCTTTTGATCCAGTAGGTCTTTCGTGAACTTGGCCGATGGTTCCTTAATGAACTGTTTGGCCTGTCTCAGTCTTGGATAGTTGTTCCATCATTCCTGAGACTCTTTTTGTATCCATTGTGTAATGGATGTCTTGCACAATGCCTTAGCAACTCCACAGAAGGGTTCGGGGCCTTATCTAAGCCTTCTCGGGCTAATTCGTCGTCCTTTTCGTTGCCCTGGAACCCAGGCTAGGGTCACCTTATTTTGACTACTTAGCTCTGCTAGGTCTTCTAAACAGTCTTTCATCAGTCGTGATTTGATTTCTGGTAAGAGAAGTGCCTTTAGAGCTGCTTGGCTATCAGAGTATATGGCAATAGTTTTGCCTGATACTTGCTGATTTAATATTTCTCTTGCACAGTGTTGTATGGCTATTAGTTCAGCCTGGAACACTGTTGCATATTTTCCTAAACTTAGCGAAATCGTTGTTTTCGACTTGGGTCCATAGATTCCAGCACCGGCTCTTTCCTTGGTTTTTGAACCGTCTGTGTACCAGACGAGTTCAGCCTGTACGGGAGGTCCCTGTTTCCAGGATTCTCGGGCTGGTATAAATTTGTATGTGGTTATGGCTCTATCAGTAGGCATTGCTAGAATATTATCCCTTTTTACTTGCTGATATAGCCTTATGTGGTCGGCGCAATGTAGTTGGCTTATTGGGTTCTGTCCCTGCATTAGCCTGTGAATAGCTGACCTGGTTTCTCCTTGTATGAAGATGTGCAGTGGCGTAAGATTTAATAATACCTCCATTGCTGCAGTCGGAGTAGTGCGCATAGCCCCAGTAGCACTTAGACAGGCAAGCCGCTGAATGCTAGTGAGTTGGCCTATTGCACTTGCCTGTGCAGTTTTGGTTACCTATGCCACTGCACCATAGGTTATCATGGGTCTTCTTACCCTTGTGTATAACCATATAGTCATTTTGGGGTTTAGACCCCAGTTTTTCGCACATATTCTTCTACAGCTTACGAGAGCTATTGTAGCTTTGTATGTGAGTTTTTTGAGATGTTGATTCCACGTCAGCCTTTGGTCAAATATGACTCCGAGGTATTTGGCTTCTGTGACGAATGGAATAACTATGTTGTTTAATACTAGTGGTCTTAGTCCTGTAGTACCCATTTTTTTGTGAAAGGTACAACTGTTGTTTTTTTTGCGTTAATGGACAATTGTTCCTTTTTGCACCAGTTGTTCACTGTGTTTAGAGCTGTTTGAGATCGCTCCGAGACTGTGCCTGCAAATCGTCCCCTGACGATAATTGCTAGGTCGTCTGCATATCCTAGGCACTGGTAGCCTTCTTTGGACAGTGTTTTGAGTAAGTCGTCTACGAGAACTGACCACAGCATTGGAGATAATATTCCTCCTTGTGGGCAGCCCCGTGTAACTTTTGCCTGTATGGTTGCCTTTCCGAAAGTGGATAAAAACAACAGCTGTTGATAGTAAAGGTGAAATTTCTAAGGTGGATTGCGACCTTCATATTTGCAACCATAGCAATTTTGGAGGCTATTTTTATTCGAAATTAGTAGCCAAGCCTACCAATTTATGAAAAATATATAAGCAATTTCTTAAAAATTACTTTTTTATGGTGGTGCTAACTTAAACGTACTAGTATTTCGCCCCTAGCCACAAAAACACATTCATCAAATCTACTGGCTCTCTGTCGCAACCCCATAGAATAATTAACCGGCCATTTTATTTAGCAAAAATCAGAATAATGCTTGGCTGTGCCTGTCAAGTATCAAAATGTCAACTGTGATGTGTGAATGGCTCATAAAGGTGAAATTATTTAAAAATGTATACTTCTTTTAATATTTATTGCAAATAATTTGTAGTGTATCTCAATTCAGGCTTTCCATAAATAAAGGTACAGCAAGACAGATAATATAATGTTCTTATACAAAGCACTTTTTTATTATATAAAAAAAGGTAGGATATAATGCTGGTTTTTTATAGAAAATTTTTATTATACGATTTTGGATTACATATTCAACCAGCGAATTGTGAATAATAATTAGTAAACTTCTAGCCATAAATTTCCTCAATAAATAAAATTTAAAAATGAATCTTCTTACCTTGGTACCAAGGTATTTTATTATGTTTTTTATTTTAATTATAAAATTGTCATTTATTTGTATGTTGAAAGAAGGCCTTTGTAAATTACATTGCTCTCTATGGATCTACTTTAAGATAAAAATAGTTTTGTGGCTAGAAGTTGCTTTAACCTATCGTCGCAAAACTATTAATAATTTAAACAAAGTAAGTAGTATTAATATAACATCAAGTAATTTTTTAAAATAAAGTACATGATCTCAAAATAGAAACAATATATAATAAATGCGGGTAAAACGAGGGACAAAATAACAATAAATTAAGGGAAATACATTATTCAAGAAACTTATTTCAGATATTTCTGACTTTTCAGATTTCGATTTGCGATCTACGATGTATTAAATTCATATTTTTTTAAATTGTATTTATTAGGGAACTGAGGGCAGGGGAATGACGTAAAACAGTTGAGTATATGATAGAAAATTGTCCCCCTAAATAAAAAATTGACAATACCGAGCATTTGTCTAAAATGAATATAAAAAAATTAGACAATGTGTTTCGAAAAAATTACCAAAATGGTTATAAAGAATCAGAGACTCATTAAATATAGTTTATTTAGAACCACCTCAGGGTCCTCTATTTACCCCTAACGCAATTCCCAATGAAGAATATTTGTTATGGGAATGGAGAGAGGTAGAAAGTCAAGTTTTCAAAAAAATTATATTGCCTAGGTAGGATTCTCTAGTCGACCATTCACTGCTGAGAACTACTTAACAGTGTTGTTCCTACGAGTAAATTGGGACTGAGAAACAGTAAAGAGGATAATGCTAATGATCATAGCTATTGTCGATGCCAATGATACCTATAAAAAAATGATAACTTAATAAAGTAATAATCCTCTTAAAAACCTATATAGCAAGTAAACAAATACTAATAATACAGCAGCCTATTTATAACAACTAATAAATTATTAATGGTCCAATTTACTAATGTATGTAAAAGTTTTCAAACATTTATTAGTTGCGTTGCATCTAAAAAGGAGTAAAATGTACTTACACAATGCTTTAACACCTTTATATAAATTTACAAGATTTTTGGGATGTTCTCCTTATAAATTTGAAAAAAATACTAAAGTATATAAATTTGATCCACGGGCTCTGATTTTCGTTGCTGTCACAATTATTTGTTCAATATTATTTACTGTTTGTGTACCCAGTAAAACTGAACGTGAGTTTTATTTGTTCTTTAACTTTCAAATACACCTGGATTGTATTTGTACACTTATAAACATCGTAACATTGCTAATCAAACTAAAGAGATTTGTCAAAACTATGACAGAAATGGAAGTTATAGAAACCAAGCTGAAAAACCTTATTGGAGATATGGAATACAAAACCATATTTAGAATATCTTGGGTTGTTATTGTTATTTTCATTACTGATACTACGATAAAGTCAATTTCAGAATACTTATTATTTCTGAAAAGAAATGCCAGGCCATTTTATTTACTGAATGGTTTTCTACCAGAAGTTGCAATTATTCAGTTTTGCATTTTAATTTATATACCTTTTGTCAGGTTAAGAAAGTTGAAGCAGTTTTTTGAAAATACATTCTATAAAAATCAAGGTATAGTACTTATATAATCTTCAAATACTTATTAGGTGTATCCTAAACTCGAGTGCCAAAGCCTAGTGCAAATTTTTGCTACCAAATCATGCCCTTTGAGGTTATCTATGTTCGAAAATGCATATTTTTAGATTATTTTTAATGAGCCATATTATTATCAGATGAATATCGAAACACTGTTTGGAATTTACACTATATCATTGGCAATTGAATTTTGGGATTACCCTGTATAAAAACAACTTGCGCTAATGTATTTATTTTTCTCCAAATCTAAGACATGTTATTAAAGAGGTATTACACTAGGCGAGTTCACTATCTAATAGCCAGCGAGAGCAATGTTCGCCAGTAAACTCGCTCAGTGTAATATGTTTAGCTACAAAACTAACAAATACCCTTTATGTTACCAGTTTTAAAAAACCTTGTACCAAGGAATCTTACAAACCTCCGGCCTAGCCCAGATACTCATATAAATAATAATGTGATGTTTGTTTATTTGAAACAACAGTTTATTTGTATATAATTTATTTAGACACCTATTTATTTTATAACACTACTATTCTAATTTTTATATATTTCGAAGTCTCTAAATTGTTCCCTATTTATCTTCACAGCTGTTCGTATACTAATGACTGCACTGTGTTCCTCCACCAATATTTATATACAAATTTATAATTTCTTGTGGGTTCCAGAACGCTCCTCCGCCAAAATAGAAACATCTCATATCTGGAATATACTAGAAACATTATCACGTTGACTCAAGAATGTACGCGAAAGCGCCTCCGCCATAATCGTCACATATGTTTGGTCTTAAGGGGTTTAATTATGTATGGTTATCGGACAAGTTGAGCCTCAAAGGCCAAATAAGACAGAGAGGGACTTGGAGGCTTAGAGCATGACTGAATAATGAAATAGCTCGCATTACATTGCCCTCTCCTTAAGAGATAGTTCCTCCTGGAACTCTTACGAAATTAAAACGGAATGGTTGTATCTGCAACTGAACCCTCTTTTATAATTTCCAGTTGCATGGAAGTAACAAGGGACTGTCTTTGTTTTAACCTGGACACTAGGCTGCAGACCAGTATTTGGACTCCGGTATCTTGAAAGATTACTTCCACCATGTTCCTAATGATCCTCCAATCCAGCTGATTTCCTTCTATCTTCGGCATGGCTAGCTTCTGTACATTGGATTCTCGTACGTGCTCCCTTAAACTAAGTAATACTTCCCATACATCAAGATAAGTGGATCGATCTCGAAAGTTGTTCTTCGTTATCAAATAGTAAGGTAGCGCGATTCGTCTTGAAGTTTCAAGGCTTTTTTAGGGGCTGGTAACTGACGTTGAAGTTCTAGCAGTCGACCAAACTTCTTACGGAACACAAATGCCAGTCCTCGCGCGTCGTTGGAGTTGGCGGAAGTACTATGGACTAGCGAGTAGTCTTTTGGAAGTGTGAGCAGATCTTGTTGTTGCTCGGTCGTGATACCATGTCTTGCTTTTCCGGTACCTCCATATGCACCCATAAATTCTTCAAACACAAGATCAAGAGTTTCTTGGAGCTGGTTTACTTCTTCTTCCTTTACAGTCCTTACTTTACTGTATCCACCAGAAGCCTGCGTAGCTGCCTCATATTCTAAAGCAGCGGACAAAACATCGACCAATGTTTTGTGGCGAGCTAATCGAAGTGTTTTCTGCATCTCGTGGTCACGGAGTCCATCCACAAATTTTTGTACTGCAAAACATTCCATTATATTTTCCGGAGCTGATAGATAAGCAAATCGCACCAACCTCGCAATATCTACTTCATATTCCTGAAGAGTCTCGTCTCGTTTCTGTTTACGATTCTTCAACTGTGACTGGTATAAATGCTCCAATTGTTCGTGGCCATATCGCATATTTAGTCTCTTTTTGAGTTGCTCAAAATCATCTGTCTCTTCCACGGGTATAGTCTGAAGGACATCCAAAGCGTCTCATTGAAGGGCGATGGTCAAATTTATTGCCTTCTCTCGTTCAGACCACTCGTTTGCTCTGGCAGCTGTTTCGAACTACTTAAGGTAGTTCGTCCAAGACATCTTCCCGTGAAAAGTTGGGGCTTTAACACGAGAGTTTACAGCTCCTTCCAACTTCAACTTCGACTCCATCTCATGACACTTAATTTCACCGTCCTTGGCCGGGTCTAAATGTTCCAGTTCTTCTATCTTCTTTTCCATTTTTTTTATTTTCCCCTCAAAGGAAGTCATCTTATTTTCCACATCAGCAGAAATTTCGTTTTTTAAAGAAGACATTTCTAAGGAAGAAATATTAGACGAAAATTTATTTTCCATAGAAGACATTTTGTTTTCCAAGTCGTAAGAAATTTCATCTTTTAACGAAGAGATATCAGAAGAGACTTTAGTTTCTAAAGAAGAGATTTCGTTTTTTACGGAAGACATATCAGAAGATACCTTTTCTTCTAAGGAAGAAACTTTACTATCTAAGGAACAAATGTCTGAATAAACTTTAGTTTCTAAGGAGGAAATGTCTAAAGAAACTTTATTTTACATGGAAGACATTTTACTTTTCAAAGAAGAAATTATAGACTGACAACAATTATCTTTCGTGTAGCCCATCGAGGTCGGGTCGTTTTAGGACACCCTATGGACGCTGTACATGTAGACACGCTGTATATTAAACACTTCAAGTCTTCCTTTACTCGTTTTATGTTCTTCAGATTTCCTGTTAGCCTCGTGTCATGCTCTCCCGGTCTCCTTTAGCTGTTTAATGCTCTTCAGGTCTCCTGCTATCCTCGTCTCATGCTCTCAGATCTCCTTTAATTTTTAAGAAATAAAGCACGGTGTCAGTCACTTATTACAAAAAAGTCTTTCCATCTCTTAACACGTGTTAAATAAAAAAAAATAAAAAAATTATCAAAATACTTAAGTACCATTGAAACAAATAAATTATGAGTATTACAGCAATTAATTTAGATTCGCAAAAGAATTTCAGTAGCATTCTTAAAAGATGGGAAGATCGAATATAGTCGTCTATTTCGTAGCGTGGCTTTGTGGAAAAGGGAAAAAATATATATTGTTAAGATGTTAATCCTACAAAATCACTTATAAAGCAATTTAGAATGAAACAATTATACTGACCTTTGGCATACGAAAAAAAAGACGCATAAAATACTCTATTCACGATCTTCAGAAATGAACTTGAACGGGAAGAGAGAAAATTTCTCCGAAACACACCTAATAAACTCTAACAATCTCCTCCATTCGGTTTCCCACAGACATAGCGCATGACGTTCTTTACATATTTCAATCTGATCGTTATCTAGCAAAACTGCGCATGCCCAAATTTATTGATTATAGTGGATTTTATTTGTTGCACTAGGTGTAAGTTTTCTGCACTAAACGCATTTGATTTGTTCAGTGTAGCTTCAAATATTTGACACATACTTGAGTGAAGCCATTAGTGAAGCATATACTTTTGACAAGTATGACAGTTCGAATAACAGTTTTGTTCCTAAATTGGGACTGAGCACATACTTTGATTACTATACGAGGCAAGAGGTCCGACACGCCCAACATAGGGCGCGGCCATTTTGAACCCTGTGACACAGTTTACAGCTAAAGAATCAGATCGCTCACTCTGCGTCGGCACTTTGGATCTCAATGTTTCAGTTTATACACTGTGCAACTCGGATAATACAATATATGACAACCGCCTATAATAAAACAGCAGTCTTTTGCGTATCCTGAATTTGTATCCCTGGAGTAGATGTTATTTTGGAACTTTCAACTGGTCCAAATGAGCTAACTGATTCTTTAGCAATAAACTGTGACTTCAAAAATAATATTCACTGACACTGACAGCAGCAAGCAAAATATCAGGTGCGTTTTAATCATCCGCTTCTGCTTCCGGAATTGTCGGTTTAGTCGTTTTAACCTGTCAGATTAAAACAAGAAAACCAACAATTCCGAAGCAGAAGCGGATGATTAAAACGCACCTATTAAAAATATTGCGCCAAGATGTAGGCAACACGTAATAAGGGTTCAAAATGGCGTTTTCTATCTCCTTTTAAAAGGCACTCAGAAAGCTGCGCAGTGCGACCATTCTCCGTATAGTAAAAGAAAATCAAAGTAACAAATATGCTAATGACCACAGGTATAGTCGATGCCAATGATAGACAAGTACCTATAAAAAATGATACTTTAAAAAGTAAGAATCCTCTTAAATATATGAAAAAAAAAATAAATACTATATAATACAGCCTATTCATAACAACCAATAAAATATTAATAGATCCAATTTACTAATATCCGCAAACACTTCCGACATTTAAAAATATCGTTATTATATAAAAAGTAGTAAAATGTACTTACACGTGGCATTAACACCTTTACATAAATTTTCAAGATTTTTGGGATGTGCTCCTTATAAATTTGAAAAAATACTAAAGTATATAAATTTGATCCACTGGTTCTGATTTTCGTTGCTGTCACAATTATTTCTTCAATATTATTTACTATTTGGCTACCCAGTAAAAGTGGACAAGAGTTTTATTTGTTTTTTAACTTTCTAATACACTTGGATTGTATTTGTGCACTTATAAACATCATAACATTGCTTATCAAACTAAAGAGATTTGTGAAAACTCTGACAGAAATGGAAGTTGTAGAAACCAAGCTGAAAAACCTTATTGGAGATATGGAATACAAAACCATATTTAGAATATCTTGGGTTGTTATATTTATTTTCATTGCTGATACTAAGATAAAGTCAATATCAGAATATTTATTATTAATAGATCAAAATGCCAAACCATTTTATTTACTGAATGGTTTACTACCAGAAGTTGCAATTATTCAGTTTTGCCTTTTAATTTATATACCTTTTGTCAGATTAAAAAAGTTGAATCATTTTTTTGAAAATATAAGAATCAAGGTAGAGTACATATAAACTTAAATATTTATTAGTTGTACCCTAAACTCGAGTGTCAAAGCCTAGTGCACATTCTTGTTGTCAAACCATGCCATTTGAGCTTACTTATGTTCTAAAATGTATATTTATTAAATTATTTTCAATGGGCCATATCATCGTCATGAATATTAAAAATGATATAAATGTTTTTCGAATGTCGTTAGATTTAGCATAGTAGAAAGTCAAATAAAGATGACACGCTCAATTATATTTGCAGAAGTTCTGGTTGCAGCGTAACATTGAAACACAGTATCCTGTATTGTGGAACATTGCTGAAAAATACTTAATACTTTTCCATCATCATACCTAGTCGAAAAAGGCTTCAGTGTGTTTACAAGAATTTTGACAAAACAAAGAAACCGTTTGAAAATCAACGAACGCAGAGATTTAGAGCTACAACTCATCAATATTGAACCAGATTTAGCTAGATTAGTAGAAAGTAACCAGGTTCATCCATCACACTGAATTTTTTTTTTTACCAGTTTAGGATTTTTGTATCAATAGGAAAAAACACTTCATTCAGGATGTCTGCCATGCATTTTGGAACTGAATACTGTCACTCGCCAATTACTTTCACAGCTTTGATGATATTGTTTCAGTGATCTAATTTTTGTGTTCACTTGTGCAGTATTGCCAAATTTATCTATTTTTAATGTTTGCCAGTGCGCATCTATTTCTCGTCGTACTATAATTCGTTAATTTTTCCTATTTTCTCTGGGTTGAATAACATTTTTTAAATTAAATTTTCTTAATTAAAGTTTTGAAAAATTCGACAGAAACGTTCAGTTTCAATTTTAAAATTAAAATGTGTGTAAGTGGCTAAATTACCAACCCAAAACATTTAAATTTTACAGTCACTCCAATTAAGATTTTTCTCGATGGCTAGTTACTTTGTGGGTATATTTCCTAAAATTTACTGTGATCTTATTCGAAAAAATAACACTCTGTAAAAGTATTATTATTATTTTTATCATATTTTCTTTTTTAGATGAATTTATCCTAAGAAAACAAATAGAAGAAATCCATGACATCTACAACAAAATTTGCAACGTATGCCTTGACCTGAACAATATATTTGGATTTCCAACTTTGATTTTTTATATACATTTTATTACTTCTGGAGTGGTTGAAATCCATTATTCATATTTGTTGAAAGATGATCTAAACTGGAAAACAGCTTTGCAAATTATTTCAGTATTTCACTGGACAGTTTGGAGAGCATCCTGTTTGATCACAATTGCATATTTGTATCATTCAGTACTTGAGCAAGTAAGAGCCTATACTTTTCTTATTTTACATATAGGTTTGTTCCAACAAATAAGCCATGATCGATACGAAATTAATCTCTGATCTATTTATTGCGCAAGCGTGACACTATTTGTGGACCGTTTTCTTTCTGATTTCTTCAGGGATATCGTAGTGACTACATATTGGCGGTTAAAGCACGGTTATGCCTAATACAAAATAATAAGTACTGTATTTCTGTTCCTGTGACAGTCACACTTAGTAGCGGCTGGGGCATAAGTGCTGCAGAACTGCCAAAAAATGGAAGTACCTCATCTACATTTCACAGAAATTATTAACGACATTCTAAAATATACGAAACATATATTTTATGGATTATCTCATCTTCCTCTTATTTCATAGCTAAGAATAAGTTCAGAGCGGATTAGTGAAAGACTTAACAAAAGCTCGCCAGGTCATATTCATCTTTTAGCTGGATCGCTTCGGGACGGTCTGTGCACCGCTGGGCCGGCCGCACTCATCGTCTCACCTCTCCGCGGCTTTTCAAAAAGTAACCCCAAGACACGTAGTGTTTGAGCTGCATTCTTGCCAGATCGGCGAGCTTTATTTATAGTCTGTCACATATGTGACACGAGTTCGGTTATGTAGAAAGACATGAATGTAATTTATAAATTAATAAACAAAAATAGATTTTTTTTAAATACGCGTATGAGTATAAGTTTGCTGATAGAAAGGATCGCAGAATAGAATTATTGTAAAAAAGTTAGGTGACTAAAAAAATAATAATGGCTTTTTTTTCAAACTATAAATATAAATTGTATATTTCCTTTTTTAAGCGGAGTCGTTGTTAATAAATATACTTGAATGTTTTCTTCTCTTGTGATTAAGTTAATATTTCTAAACCCATTTACTTGTTTACCCATGATATTTACTTCAGATATAACTCAAAAAAATTATGGTATTCAAAAATTGAGTCAATTTTTCCTTTGTACACGGAAAAAAATTGTAGAACAAATTTCTATAATTATACATTTTTTCTCTACAATAAATAGTACATATAGGGACAGGGACAATTTGTAGTAAAAATTTCCAAATATTTGTAGAGAATGTATTGTAGAGTTCTTATCTACAATATTTAGTAAAAATATCCAAATGCATCATAAGAATTGTTCTACAAATTGTTATAATTTTTGATATTCATTGTATGAATTTATATTAAAAATGTATTGCGTTTTATGAAAATAAATACGAAAATTTGACACAATAAATAGTAAAAATTATTTACAAAATGTAGTAATTTTTAATAAAATTTGTAGTAGTATTTTATAATTATTATAATTATAACCTAGAAAAAATGTTCCTTAATAAAATATTCAATTTATTGTTTTAATATAAAAGATACAAAGTCTTAATTACATTATGTAATAAATAACAGTAATAATAGCGCCTTCAGTCTCAGTTGGATTTTCTGCACCTGAAAAATATGAAATAAAAATTAATAATTATTGAACTCTTCATACCCTTAAAACGGAGATATTTATCACCTTTACACTGATTTGGATATGAAATGACTAAGTCAGATAACTAACAAAAATAAGAAAGTAGGTATGTCACAATTAAGACAAAAAAACATCATTGAACTTGGCACAACATTCGATCGTTGACCACAACTATTTTTTTTTAAATAATCTACTAAGTTTATTTAAATTAGTTATCTAAAGGTAAATTATTCAGAAACAATAATAAATGTACTTACCACTAATAGAAGTTATTATTAAAATTTTCTCAAACTCTTGGGTGCTTATAATATAATGTGTTATAGGTACTCGTATATGTACCATGCTTTGTTTTGTGAACATGGCGAACGGCTACTGCTGTCTGGCCATTTATGATCGACGTCAGAAAACGTTAGCCAATAGCAGAATTCTGTTTTATTCACATGACTTAGAATTTCTACAATATTATAGAATATTTTTGAACAAAATTGAATTTTTTTCATAAGAAGGGATGTAAGGTATTACTATTTTTTGTAGAGAAAATTACTATTTTTTGTAGAGATAATTATTAATACTTGTACAAATTTTTACAGAAGTTAGTAGTAGTAATTACGATAATTATAATAAATTTCTACTTCTACAAACAATAGTAAAATATACTAAACATTGTGGACTTCTTTCCTGTTGTTGTAGCATTTTATTCGACAATTCAATTGCTACAATAATGAATAGTATTTAACAATAAATTGTAGTAAAATTTTCTACAAAAAGTTTAGTATTTTTCTACAAGTCTACTACTACAATATTGTAGTAAAATTTTCTAGTCACATTTTTTTCCGTATATGTTTCTACCTTTTATTTTATTCCTCGTTTATTCTGTATTAAATTTTTAATTACCTACATTTTCATCGTGTTATTTATATTTTAGTCAAAAACCATGAGCAACACTATTCACAATTTAATACGTAAAGCGAAAACACCACAAGTATATAAATCGGTAAGTTTGTTTTGGTTTTTGATATGTTTTGCTTTCATTTATATAAATTCTACTAATAAGAAATTAACTCCCAATATTGTCTGTTTCTTTATCTTTCTTCATTAATTCTCATTTATTTTTCTTACATAAACTTTTAAGAGCATCCATTTTGCTTTGCATATGAATCTTTTTTTGTGTTTCAGCTTAAATTGTTTGCACTTCACGAAATCAACAGAAATTTGAAATTTACTGTTTGTGGACTGTTTGCGGCTGATTTCACTATGGTTAATACGGTAAAGTATCTCAAAAACTATCGCTAATATGCATAACAATTTTGTTTCTTCTTTTTTTAGGGGTTTACAACGATAGCAACCTATGTAGTGCTCTTGATCCAGTTTAACGTAGGAAAACAAGAAATTTAAGAATGATTTTTTTCCTTTAATCTGCACACAAAAATTCAATTAAAACTTAACTAAAGTACCAGTTCAGTAATCCTGAATCCGTTCTTTTTATCAGTTGGTGTCTTTTCAGAACAAATTATACTAGTTTTGGTGTTGTTTTAAGCATATTAAGGCACAGTTAGTAAATAAAAATTCAAATTTCACTTCCATTTTATTTATAAAAAGTATGACAGATAACGGATTCTTTATTAATAGACCGTCAGATAGCGACAGGTTTAGGTGTTCCATTTTCACATACAAGCCTCGAAGAAGGTTGAAAATTACATCGATTTTGAGTAGAATGAAATAAAATTTACGAGTAGCTCCTGGTAATAACATGGAAAATTCGATTTTCCTTAACAAAAATTAAAAGGGATTTGTTTCCCATATTTTCACGCAAGCCGTTTTCGCTAGATGACTAACTAATATAACTAGGCTTCGGAAAACCAAAGGCTTTAATGTTGCAAATGGCTAAAATGTTGAAATAAGGGCGTAATCTTGCAAGGAAAATCGATATTTTAACTGATTTTTTCACACAAGCCCATCGAATGTTTGAAAACGTACATCGTCACTAGTCCGAAAAACATATTGGCTTGGCATTTTGGAATTGGAAAATATTTCTGTTAAGGAAAATCGAATTTTTTCATGTGTTACCCCTAAGAGCCACTCGTGAATTTCCTTCCATTCTATACTCAACATCGATGTACTTTTCAACGCTCTTTAAGGCTTAAATCTGTCATTATCTGTCGCTCTCTAATGCAAAATGTATCATTCGTAAAAAATAGAACTAGAAAAATAAATAACTGAATAATTCGAAAACAAGTCTCAAAAATCCCCCTACGAATTATTAAGACCATCCCAGAACGCAAAGGTGAAAACAAATACTTGGGGATTTAAAAAAAGGCTGTCGCAGCGGGAATGGAACCCGGATGCTGTATGATTTGCTGTAAGATTTGAGAACAAGCTGGAACGCCGACTGGCCCAAATTAGCACATTAAATTTCTGCCTAGGAATCTCGACAATCAATGTCGTGATGGTCTAGAAGAAAGGGCACTTGTCTAACATACAAGAATGTCCGGGGTCGATTCATGGCTGCGACACATTTTAGGGATAAAGAAAAAGTTTTAGGTATAAAGCCGATAAATCATGGACACGTTGCTAACGAACACTGAATGCTGAAGAACAAATACTCCAGACCATTGAAAATAGGCCTGAAATAAGCTGCGGAAGAATTGTCAATGAAGTTGGAGTATCCCAATTTGTATTCAGCGTACACTTACATCTTTATTGACTACACAAAACACAGTAAGCATCATAATCGAAATTAAATGGATATGGGAGACAAACGTTAGCTCAAACGAATGAGTGTTTTATTCCAAATTTAAAGGTTTATCACAGTGAGAGTAGTTATATGAACTAACTTTCATCTCCCTACCCATTTAACTTTTTTCTATGATATCACAACGCAGTGCCGATATCACTGATCTCAAGTATACCTATTGTTAGAAATTATTTAAAGCAACTCTGACAACGCTGTATCCTGAAGCCGCCTGCGGTCGTTCGTAAGGAATGGGTATTCACATACGTGCGCTCGTGTAAAATGGCTGCCTGTATTTTTGTTTATCATTTTCGTGCCTTACTGTTTAATAATTTTTTTAGTGTATTCAATTGAGAATATAATTATATCTTCGATTGAGTGTAATCTCTTTTTGCTAACACTATGAAAACTGAAACCATTTTTTGTCGTGCTCTCGTTGATAAATAGTGATACAGAAACCGTGACATGTCAAATTCCCCACTATCATGTCTCGGTTTCTAAAAAAAATGTCGCTAAAATGAACCGATTAACGTCAACTGTCGACCTCTTTAATAAACGAGGTTATGTTATGTTTATTAAAAAGGTATTTTAAAAAAATCTAAAATTGAGGAAGACAGGCAATATTTCTATTAAATAAAAAATTCAAATAGAATTTAGAGATATTTCAATGAAAATACAGATTCAATAATTAATTGTTACTTAGTAATGAAATAAAAAATAAACGTTCAAAATAAAACGCAGCTACCAAAAATTCCAAATCAAAACGCTATCATAGAACGTTTTGAATGAAAACTCAAAATATCAACTGTCACTATCAATCTTTTGTTCACCACCTCAAGAATCAATTAGGCATTCCAAACTGAATGGCTACCAGTGGGTTTTGACAAGTTATGATATGGCAAAATGATGGCAACCCTGTAAGCCTGGTGATTTGACAAAGTCAATGAAATAGATAGTTACATAGATTGATCATCCATATTTTTCAAAATAAACATAAGCTTATGCCTTGAAGTAAAAATGTAAACAATTATTTTTTTAATTATCTAAAGGCTGAAAATTGGTTTTAAAACACATTTTTGCTAAACCGATTCAAATTAATAAATATTTGCCAAGTACTATGGCCGCTCGCAAACGACCAGCTTTAAGCAATCTATATAACTTCATATGTATCATTGACCCTGTTAATGACAACATGACAACAGGGTTGCCATATCTAAACTGTCAGTCCCCACTGGTAGCCATTTGGAATGCCTAATTATTAGGCATTCAAAACAAAATGGCTACCAATCCTACCCTTAGAGTATATAAGACTAGAGGTGTTACTCAAATGGGTTTGTTATGTACTGAGGGGGATAACCCCTTCGGTGTTAGGTACACGACGATTTATGATTGGCGAATTTTAATAACGCGCGTATTTGTGATAAATGACATTTTATTTAACGTCTTGTTTTCGTTTTTGAAAAGAACATTTTTTGTGGGTTCTAAACACAATTTGGACGAGGTGTCTCTTTGATAAACTTTTTAAATGTATTTTTATTATAAAATAAGTACTAATCATGCCGAAAGCTTGTATAGTTTGCAATAATAAATTCTTAAAAGGATCCTGGTTGATATTTCACAAGTAAGTATTCTATATTTCATAAACGCAACTTAAAATGGAAAATGGGCAAATTCATAAGAAAACATGTTTGTAGAATGTTCTTCATTTGAGCATCACCGCAACTGGTTGCATTCGACAGAAAATAATTGTTTCCTTTGCGATATATTGCTTAATTTATTATTTTTTTTGTCCACTGTAAAATGGAATAGATACTTTTTTGCATTGTACATATTTATTTGCCATTCATTTTTGTTTGTTAAAGTTAAATAAAATATTTTCTCATATAATCAAGCATTATTATGATTTCAGGAAAACAAAGCATAAGTAAAAATTCAAACAAAGTTATTTTTTGATAGAAAATTAGCTCTTGCCCAAAAGAAGATTCTAGCAAGTTTCAACAAAATCAGTCAGTTGAAGCATAAGAAGCTTGTAAAGTTAAAAAATAGGGCTATTACGAATAGTATGCTTACTACTGTATTTCATACCCAAAAATTAACAGCTATCCGTAAACTAGAACAAATTCAAAGAACAGCATGTCTCAACATAACAGGAGCCATGAAAACAACACCGACCAGGGCCATGGAAGTCATTCTTAGTCTCACTCCCCTTGATATTTACATCAAGGAGGTTGCACTGACGACAACGACACGTCTCCGCACGGTTGGAGTAGAACCAGATGTAGGATATGGTGAGGCGAGACGTCGCTTTTGACAGGAGGCGCTCAATACGCTCCCACTGCTTCAAGCTAACATGGACTCCATCTCACCGAGATATATCTTCCATAAGCCATATAAAGTTATAATAGAACAAATAGAAGAGCCGAAAGTGGCAGGTACGATTCACATCTACACCGACGGTTTTAAATCAAAACAAGGCTCAGGATGTGGAATATACTCCAGATTCTTAAACCTAAACATAAAATGGGCTGTGAACAATAGTGCCAGTGTAGTTCAAACAGAGATAATGGGGATTCTCATAGCAGCAAAAGAAATAACCAGAAACAATAACACTGGAAGGAACATGTTCATCTTTACAGATAGCAGACAAGCACTACTCTGAACAGACCACGAATTTACTCAGGGTTAGTACTAGAATATCACGAAGCTTTGGCCGAAGTATCCATTAACAATGTGGTCACCTTAAGATGCATCAAAGGTCACGTCACATCGAAAGGTAACCGTCTTGCTGATTCATTAGCCAAGAAAGCAGCCAACCAAATAATTTTTGGACCTGGCCCTTCTATTGGCCTGACAGACAGACCTAAACAAAGAACATTCCCTTGTGAAATTCAAGGAAAGATGGGATGAAACAAGAAACTGCAGAGTTGCCAGGGAGCTCTTAAGTTATCTTGACAACACTGCAGCAAACAAATACTTGACTATGACTAGACAGAATCTGCGCCTAGTTACAGGCATTCTGACTGGTCATTGCCAAGTACGAAAGCATCTCCGTATCATAGGGCTGTCACAATCCGCACTTTGCAGAGGGTGCAAACAAGAAGATGAGACCATCGAGCATATACTTTACGATTGCCCAACGCTCTCATTTATTAGAAGATTTGTGCTCGGCGAGTATCGGCTAACACCGGCCGATATAAGAGAAGCACCTCTTGGCGTAGTTGTCAACTACATTAAATCTGTAGGCTGGCTCACGAGCTAGGAGGTGTCTATCATCTCAGGAGGATCCACAATGGGCCTAATGAGGCCTAAGTGCCGTGGAATTAACCCACCCTCCTTCACACGTTACAGATACAGATAATTATGATAATTATTAAATCTTTTATGCTCTTATATAGGCAGCCAAATGTAACTGAACATTTTTTCGCTGACAATGTGTATGATATCTCACGAATAAAATGTATTTTTTCTGTATTAATCCCACTCTATATGTAATTGGGTTTTAACTGTTGAGTGGTGTACTAAATAAATAATAAATAGTAAATTTTATGGGAATTTGGAAGAATTAATCTTCATTTAATTTTTTTGTTTTGTTTGATAATTAGCTTACTTCTACATACAAATATTACATCTAGGTACAACTAATAACTATGTTTTGATTACATTACTCAAATTAGCAGCCGTCTCGTTTTTTCCAATGCGTCAGCTGATGCGACAGCTCTGTAATATAAGCTGCGTAATATAAAACACAATCTAAATAATTAAAATAAATAAGGGCTTAATTTTTAATGAATGGATTAGGCTATTAGTTTTTCGTCGTTGTT